ATGCGTACTTTTGGCTGACATTTGTGTTATACATTCCATTTTGTTGGTGTATGTTCGGGTACTTTATTACGTCAACAATCCGTGTCAAAAACAAGTTTTTCCCTTATGATATGAAGATGTGAATTCTTTTATTGGCATAAAAAAATTTTTTATTGTGCGTCACCATATTTGGCGACTTACGATTTTAGGGCCAATTTATGTGCAAAAATTTTAATTCGGTGATGTGCGATTTTCTTGAAATTCTTTGCGAATTTTAACGAATATAATAACATTATAACGATGCCATTAAAATAACGATAACATATTAAAATTACTTTTTTTTTAGAATGATTACATTAAAGTGAAGCTTTTTTATTTCCCTTTGTTACCTTTTAAAGATACAAATATTATAAACTAGCAGCTACACTACTATCCTTCATCTGGCTTTTAAATGTACCGAAAAAATGCCTGAAGGGAATACCAAATGTTAAATTTAAAAACTGCGCAGAATTTTACCCTGCAGAACAACTTTAAAAAATAAAATAAAAGGTATTACATATAACACAATTACAATGAAATAAGCAATATCCCTTAATACAAATATTAATTATCCTAATAAATAAATTAACCAACTTCCCTTTGCCTTCTCTCAACAAACGTCCAGTATCCAAGAGAAACATTAAACTTAAAAACTGCACAGAATTATTGCCCTCATTTTTCCACGTGGCAACAGTGCTGATTTTCAGCAGTTCAGTACACAATTGAATGAAAAACTGTTGCCAAAACTACATTTCTAAAATTTTATTTATTCAAAATGATGCGATAAAATCAAAAAGATAAAATCAAAAAGATAAAATTTAAAAAAAATCGTTTCGAGGTGCACTTATAAGGTATTACTCCTGCCTTCCTAGAGTACCTTTGTGGTGTAGTGGTCAGCACACTGAACCGGTATTTCTGAGGTACATGGTTCGATTACCGCTGATTGCGAATTTTTCATCTCTCTGGCTTCCAAAAAAAAAAAATAACTAATGTCTCTACAATGCCACTCGAACTAAAAGGGTGTTGGATGAGGATTCTCTACACCCAGGGATTTGGCAGTTGGGTTCCTTAAAAAAACCCCAGTCACCCTTTAAAAAAGGAAGTATATAAAGTATCTCCTCCGCTTTCCTGGAGTACCTTCGTGGTGTAGTGGTTCTGCACGCTGGGCCAGTATTCCAGAGGTCCGTGGTTCGATTCCTGGCAAAGGCAGTTGCTCATTTTTCATCTCTTCAGCTTTTCCAATTAACCTAATGTCTCTACACACTGGCTCTTGTCTAGATGCACCAATATACCAAATTTCATAGCCTTGGTCTATTGGCTTATGCGCAGCATGAACAAAACAAACACAGACTCGTTCTTTTATTATATGTAGAGATTAAAAAATAGTTTTTTTTTAAACCAATGGCAGGCTCTCAGCCGACTTCGGCTTGGCACTACTAAGGACAGAAGTGTGGTCACTTTATTATAGAGGCACTCCTTTGCCTCCTTTGAGGGAACGGACAGTTACAACCATGCCTTCTCCGGGATATTTCAGCAAAAGCAAAAAAGTAGCTTCGAATATGAAAAAATTCATTGGTGTAATTTTTCATGTTTTATATAATAGCATTTGTCTCCGTGTAATTGTTTCAATATAGTGTCACTTTTCTGTGTAAAATTACACATGTGATTTTTCTGATTTTCCCCCTTAAGAAAAAAATCACCTAAAAAAATTAAATATAGAACCTTTTAGATTTTATATTATGCCTAAACAAGTGTCCCCCCCCCTCCCCGTTTACAGACACGTCCATTGCTCTGTACCCCCGTTTACAGAGCATTTAGGCTAACGCCACATTGTTCGAAAAATATTTAGAAACAGATATTGGTTTTGTAACAAATAAGTCTTTAAAGTTTTACAAAGTATGAAATAGACAATAAAATAAATCAAATTTAGTCTTCCATGTGCTCATGTTTGGATGGAATACTATTCTATGCTATTCAAGATTTGATAGCTCTAGGTACTGTTGTTTTTTCACAGCGCGAGAAATATGCATAGATTTATGTAAATTTTTCATTATTTAGTTTCTTTAAATGTAGTACAGGGCGATAATATTTGGTGGCAACAATTTAAAAATGATTCAAGGAAAAATGCCATTTTGAGACTAATAACCTTTCTGGGGTTAGAGAGAGCAAAATTTTTTCTGAATTTTCTTGTAAAGAAGCTGTCATTTCAAGACAAAAAAGCTGAAAGAATTATTAAATTATATATTATGTAATAGGATTAAAAGACAAGAGGCAGTGCTATCAATTTTTTTTTTTTTTTGTTCCATTGGCAAATTTATAAATTAAGAGGTCCATCATCTTAAAACAGAAGGCATGTTTACTTTTTTAATAAATGATGATTTGTAGGCTAGAACGTGGGGGCTTGTTTGTTTTGACCCAAAAATTCAGCCGTTGTTCCATTCTGAAATCTGTAATATGTCTAGAAAACAACATTTGAATTAATTTTGATTCTTAATGTGTCATTACAAGCATTGAAAGTTCCTTTCAATTCTGTTAGTCGCTTTTATTAAAATTGTGTTGTGTGTGTGTGTGATTATGGCAAAGCCTCAAGGGCTATCTGCCTAAGGTGAGGAATGCCTTCGTGGAGGACTTTCTAATGGAAACTGGCTTGTATACACGTTACGCATGGGGAAAACCACGAAAACGCCCATGCAGCCAGCCCGTTCGTGAGATTCGAACCTTTGACTGAACTATCAGTGTTCAGCGACTTTACCACTCGGCCGCTCTGGTGGGCCAGATAAAATTGTGTTGAAGTAAGGTACATTGTTTTATAGCTTTACTAATTTTACTTCTTTGTGTTATGTTCATTTTGACATATTTCGGAGTATCAAAAGTGAATTGTAGATTTATAGCATTCATAAATGATAATGGAAATTCCATTCCTGTTTTCTGTTTGTACCAATGGGTAAACTTCCTTGGTTATCTTGGAAAATAAATCTTGCTGAAAACAAGCTTTTTTAACATTTAAAATTAATTGTAATGCTTTTGAAGAAAATTATTTTTTTTTTTTTTTTTTTTTTTTTTTTTTTTTTTTTTTTTTTTTTACAGGACACCATCCATTTAAGCATTTCAAAAATATTGTTTGTTTGGAAGTTTAATATTTGACTGTTACCTTTATTTGCTAAATATTGCGATTTACAAATGTGTAATGTTCTACGTGTGCGCCTGCAATGACACAGCAAATATCTATGCGGTATTCCACTCCTGATGCCCTTGTGAAAAAATATCCTTTGTTAATGAATCGAGCACTTTAATTGCTGTTAAATCCTGGAAAAATGGAGGCATGCACACTTTGTCTTTAACAAAACCCCTTAAGGAAAAATCACAAGGAGTTAGATTTGGGGATCTTGGTGGCCAAAAATGCAATGGCATATTGTTTGACCCAGCAGGGCCAATTCAACAATGGGGTAGATTATAATTCAGGTTCTAGCATTATGCCAATAATGCTAGAACCTGAATTATAATAGCAATTTTATATTTAATTATTTATATTATAATAGCAAGTTTTTATGCCAATATGGTGGAGCACCAACTTGCAGCAGAATAAGGCAAGGAACCACTTCTTTCAACTGAGGGAATAACCATTGATAGGATTTCTTGGTAAATACATCCGTTAGTTAAGTTTCCCATGAAGAAAAAAAGGACCAAAAACACAACTGTTGGAAATGGCGCAGAAAACGTTCACCTTTGGAGAATCACGCTCATGTTCCATTGCACCATGAGAAACACAGAAATGTGTCACAAAATCATAAATTATGGCAATTAACTTTTCCAGAAACTTTAAAAGTGGCTTTGTTCATAAACTCAAGTTCTAAGTTTTTGCATGTGAAGTGTATGATTTATCAATTATTATTTGATCATATTTATGTTTATTACATGATGTTCATGCATTCATTATTATCTATGGTTTCATATGTCTGCTCTTTGAACACATGAATTTTGGAACCCTTTGCTCTTGGAACATATTACCCACAGACATGGAGGTACAGTTATATTTCACATTTATCATACCTTTTACACAATAATATCATACATTTTACATAATAATGCATTATATACTGTATTGCTAAATGTAGTATACAAGGTGCTTTATTTCAATATTTAATGTTGGTACTTTCTTAATTTATACCATTTATTACTTTGTAGGGTTCACTTGTTTAACTTCTGAGTGAAAATCAAACGTGCAGTAAGTTCTGATAGGAACTACACAGAAGAAGTGTTAAAAATACCCTTTATTAACTCATTAAAATTTACAATGCGTCAACTCGACACTGACACACTACACCTCCCTTGGGCCGTAACTGCAATCATGGAGCTAAACTAAAAATTCGAAGATGTGCGCAAATTGTAGAACCAAGCTGCAGAGCTCAGATAATTCCTGTTTCTTAAACCTACATTGAAACTTCTGGCAGCAAGTAAATGCGTTAAGCCACGTAAACCAGCAATAACTCCAGGAGTACAAGCTCACACAACAAAGGGGACAGCAATAGCATCTCTCTAACTTTCCTGCTGAACCTTGGTAACATAGAATTTGCATTCCTTCACATGCACTACCAAATTTAAATGTTCTGACATTGACAATTAGGGGAATGAAGGCTTATAGGGAAAGTTTAAAATTAAACTTTTAACTTGTTGGTTAAAATAAATATAAATCCCTACAACTTGTCCATAATTGTTATGTTACATGAATATCTCTGTGTTATATATTGTTTACTGTTATCTGCAGTAGGTCTTGGAATGTATTACTTACGTTTCTAATATTACATCATTAACTTTATTCTTAACTGTTTCAAAGCAAGAGCATTAATATACTGAAATAGACTGATATTTATAGATTAATCTTAATTATGTTAATTACTCTACTATTATATATATATATATATATATATTTATTTATTTATGGGAGAGTAATTTTTTTATTTATGTATTTTGTAATTCCAGTATTCAAAACGTTTCAAAAATCTTGATGATACCCGTGTGGTAAAAGGAGCTGTTAAATTAGGATGGATTCAAGGAGTATTTGTAAGTATTCATTCCAGTTTTTCAAAAATATTTAAGCTGAAAAATTTATTGAATGCTTTCTCCTGTTTAAAAATTATGTTGCTTGCTTTTGCATATTTATACTAAGACTGTTCACATTAAATAAAATGTTGATTGTTTGAATGATAATTTTGATACTTTCAAATTATCCTCACCTCCCTTCCGAAAAGTTGTCAACCATTGGCAAATAATTTTTCACCAAGATAAGAAAAGAAAAACACCAGCCAGTTTCAATATTGGCTGCACAAAGAAAGTCCTCAATAAAACTTTTACTCCTTGCTCAGCCCTTGTACACAGCAATCTGTTTTAGCTTCAAAAAATATCAGAGAATTGCAGAAACTTGCCATTGCTAACAACTTGGTAGTGTGCACACTGTCATTCTGTTCATGTAAGCAGCAATTTGTTTTTGCTTCCAAATAATCAGAAAATGCACAAATTTGCACTGCCATGTTGTTGTTTTCCCATGTACACTGTGTTCTTTCATGTTTAAAAAAAAGCCTATAAGCATGCTTGAAAGCTTTCAGATTTTATATTACGCTCAAAGGGGCATTTTGTGTGTTACTTTTGTTTATTAAATATCATGTTCTTTGATCTTAAACCATAAAATTCAATTCAACACCATTATCGGAAAATAATTTTTAAATTAGCTTATCTTTAGAATTTCTGATACACAGTCTCGCACGCTGGAGATAAAAATGTACAGTGTTGCCATTGCTTGCTTTAAAATCATTGATTTTCATAATAAAAAATTCATTAAAGTTTTACAAAATTTGAAATAGATAATAAAACAAATTCCAAGTTCGGGCCTCCAGATCCCTATATTCTAGTGGAGGACAACTTATTGAAAATTTGATGTCTCAAGGTAGCATGAGAAACATACATACATTCATGCAGATTCTTCTTCATTTAAATTCTTTAAATATAATTCAGTGCTCTAGTACTTGGTGGCAACAATTTGAAAAGTGAACTGACATTTATAGTGAACCAACGCAAAATGCCAAAACAAAATTAATAGCTCTTCTGAGCTAATGCCCTTTGGGCTAAAAAAATCAGAAGTCTGCAGAAACTTGGTATTGGTTCACAAATCTGATCCACAAAATTCAATCATTTATAAAGTACAGCTTCGTGGACTGCAAACTTTTTGCATTTTGTACTGTTGGACAAATGACTGCTCGTCTGCTGCTGTGCCCACATACCTGAATTGCCACATTGCCTGTTTTGGCAATATAGCATATTGCCTCATGAATACTTTTGAAGGATGTGCACACAACGAAAAAGTGCCTTAATTTTTTATTATAATTGTTTTTATATATTAAACCTCCAAGCAACAAGGCCATTCTTATGCATTTCAAATTATTTGTCAAGCACCTTGTTAACCACTTGCGCTACTACTAAACTTCATGGTTGCGGTGCAGTGCACTACAATATAACAAGCGGTAAAGTGTTTCATTTATGCCGCTCTGAGTCTGCGAGTGCAATCCAGAGCTGTAACTTGAGAAATAAATAATCTCGTTGTTAGGTAACGTGTGCACCACGTTATTTTCATTTTTGCGATAAATGCCTATCGACGTGGAGTTCACATACGTCGCTCTCAGTTTGAGACAAAAACATCTCGACATGCGTAGCACGTCTTTTAAGCGCAAGTGGTTAAATACACAGATATGCATTTTGAAATGTGTCCGGAAAATTAAAGTAGTTTAAGTATTTGAAAAAAAAGGATTACATGTGTAAAGTTGGTGCATTATTTTAGAATTATAATCGAGGAAATACCTCTTACTCATGGCTTTATGGGAACTTCAAGGTTTCAGGGCCCATCTCTTGGCCACTTGGAGGGTTAAAAATTTTATATCCTTAAATTAGGATAGATTTCTTTAATTTTTTTAAAAAAAAAGCATTCCAGATCACAAGCAACATTTTTTTTAAATTTCACTTTGGCACTAATGGCAAAACCTGACCAATAATTATTTATTACTTTTTTTGGTTTCATCACTGCATGACTATCAACCCACTGTAGCTTGAGAAATGACTCACACAGCAATGTCTAAACTTTTGTTTTTTAATATTAGTATTGGAATACCAGAGAGGATGGTAACTTTTTATACTGACATTATGCTTGGCGATGATTACAGACTTCAGCTAACTCTGATGCAAAGTGCTGAATGTGTTGACAAGGAGAAACTTGACAAGAATTTCCTTCCATGTGCAAAAAATAAATAAGTGATACTCATAGGCCAAATGAGTACATTTAGTTCTGTTTGAATTGGGCATAAATGATTTTTTATTCAGATAACCCATAATTGGTGAGCCTACACTGGCCGACAGAATTTACGGAAGGCATTTTTTTTTTTTTTTTTTTTTTTTTTTTTTTTTTTTTTTTTTTTTTAATTTAGAGAAGAACTGAGCAACAAAATGAAGCAAAGCAAAATCTTTAGAATTTAGGGAAGCCACTGGGTGCAAAATTTAGGGGCAACAGAATTTCAGATCCATGTAGACTGCCACAAAGCCATAAAATGCACAGTACTGGCCCTGAAGGAACCTCAAGTATATCTGGGACTTTATTTCTTTGGACTCAGGTAAGCTTTAAGCATGCACAAGAAGTAGTGGGGAGTATAATGAATAACTAAATTAATATAATTCAGGCTTAACTTCATCAGAATGTAATAGAGGAAAATTTAACGAAACATCATGTCTTTAGCCCCTAATCTTGTAGTGCATTGCCAATAGTGTATAGTGGCTGCTAAGTAAGCTTTATAATGATAACTGTGAATTTGAAGGTTTTCAGATATCACTAACAAAAAGCAAAATTTTCTAATTAATAGAATTTGTGAAGTAATAAGGAGAAGTGTGAAGTGCCTAGTATGTAAGGATATGCTAATAACACTTCTCTCACTCTGAGAAGATAAATATTTACAGCACAAAGTCCGTAATCTGGACTTGTTGGGACTTTGGCGATTCCGGATTAAGGGTTTTTTCAGATTATAGATCATGAATTGAAATCTGGTAAGATGGCATGCAGAAATTATACAATTAAAAATATGAAACCGTAATTTATGAAATAAAGAGCAATTATAATCTAAAGGGTATCAAAATTTACGAAAAGGAAAGCTTAATATTTATGTTTACTTTATTAACATTTTTTTCAATGTAAGTTGTATAAGTTGCCTCGTTTTCTGTGCTAAATGCGCATGCGTAAACATTAAACGCATTACGCGCATGCGTAAAGCATACAAAAAAATTTTTTTTTGTGGCTTTGAGGTCCGGATTATAGATTATTCCGGATAATGGACATCCGGATTGCAGACTTTGTACTGTATTTTCTTTGAAGTGGAATAATTCATATGGAATTTCATAAACAGAAAATTGTCCATAAATACTTGGATTTTACAGTGGTTTAATGTTGTGGCTCCTCTTTTACTTAATCAAAAACTTAATGATGATGCAATAAATCAATGTGACCAAAGTGACACTACACACTCCCTTCCCAGTGACAGTGATTATGGAAGCTATTCTTTTAAGTGTTTGGGAAACTTCATATGTTTGCCAGTTCTGGTAGTCTTATTTCATGCTGAGTCTGAGTTTTCTTCAGTAGAAAAGTAGTAGTTTTCTTCTGGATTTCTGTTTCTTCAGTTCTGGTGTTTCATCTAGATCTGTTTACTTGAAATGTGATTCTTGAAAAAAATATCTATTTCTTTCATTAAAAAACATGTTTTTTGGATCATCCAAATATGGAAACACAAAGTCTAGGCCATAAAAAACTTCATTGATGAACCTCTGAAAGGTCGCGGGAGCATTTTTGAGACCAAAACTCATGACATTGAATTGGTAAAGACCAAAAGGTGTGATAATAGCAGTTTTTTCTTTATCTTCATCTGCTACTGGAATGTGAAAATACGCTTTAAAGAGATCAATTTTAGAAAATATAGTTTTTATGAGTTAAAATATGTTGAAAATCTTGAATTCGAGGAATGGGATAACGATCAGGTACAGTTAAATCATTCAGTCTTCTGTAATCCCCACATGGGCGGAAAGAACCGTCTTTCTTTGGCACTATGTGTAGGGGACTTGCCCATTCTGAACTGGACGGACTAATGATGTTATTGTCCAGCATATATTTGAATTATCTTTTAGCTATTTCCAACCGTTTAGAATCTAATGGTCTTGCTTTGCAACTTACAGGTTGTCCTTTAGTTATAATATGATGTTTCACATTATGCTTTACAGTAGAAATAAGAAAATTTGGTTTTGTTATACTAGGATACATAGCAAATAAATCAGAATATTTACATAAGCTGCCCGTTGTATTTACAGTTTCATGAATAGAGATGGGTGCGATGTCACCATAAACTGCAAGGTTCGTCACACACACACCATCAATTAGCCTTTTATGCTTTATATCAATCAATAAATTGAACTTATTTAAAAAATCTGCACCTAATATGGGTTTACTAATTTTTGCTACAATAAATGGGAATTGAAATTCTCGGCGTAAACCAAGATCAAGAATTAAAACTTCTGTACCAAAAGTATCAATTTCTGTATTATTTGCAGCATATAATTTATAGTCACTAATAAGTTTGTGTTTAGAAGTACGAGGAATAAGGCTTACCTCTGCTCCACTGTCAACCAGAAAATGTAAACCTGTTTTTTTGTCCGTGATAAATAAGCGGAATTTACGGCAATTTTCTTTATTTACAGCAGCAGAGTCTGCCGCTAATTCTACTGCTGATTTTCGTTTTCCGGGGAGCTGTTTTCCATGCACAGGGGGGTTTGCATCTATCAGGAAAACACTTTTCTCGAAAACGAAAGTGGAAATAACAGTACTTGCCATTAGGGTTATAACGGCTCCGAGATTTACTTCGATTATTAGATGATCGACTGCTATTTCTTGAGCGAGAACGAGAATTTCTTGTGACAGTTAGTTTTTCGAATTTATTATCCAAAGCTGCAATTTGTTGTCGTAATTCAGCAATAGCATCTGTTCC